AAAAAAAAATGGAAATGAAATCTATGTAAATAGGGAAGGGTGGAGGGGGTGAAGGGCGCATAGGTAATGGGGAAGAAATAAGAAGCAAGATACATCATGTTCAGGTACAAACACCCAATGATAAATGTAAACGAATTGTATACCTAAAATGTACCAATAAAAGGACTAAAAAAATATTAAAACAGAAACACTTAATCTGCTAGAAGATAAAATAGTTAAAACTCTTGAAGACATAGGCATAGGCAAGGACTTTCTGAACAGAATCCCAATTGCACAAGAGATAATAGCAAGAAGCAACCAATGGGGCCATACCAAATTGAAAACCACAGCAAAGGAAACAACCAACAGAGTGAAGAGACAACCTAAAGAATGGGAAAAAAATTTGCCAGCTACTCCTTGGAAAGAAGACTAATATCTAGAATATATAAGGAACTCAAAAATATAAGACCCCCTAAAATGAAAGACCCAATCACAAAATGGGCAACTAAAATGGCCAGTTCTCAGAAGAAGTACAAATGGCCATAAACCCATGAAAAAATGTTCAACATCTCTGGTCATTTGAGAAATGCAAATTAAAATGATACTGATACCCGATTTTAGAAATCAGATACAGTGGACCCTTGAGTTACAACCAGCCTGACGTATGAACAACATGGGTTATAACTTGAATTTTAGTTTTAACTTAGAACAAAGTCTTGAATTATGGCCGGAATGCTGGCCACTTGTGCTTCCAGATGGCCTCAGATACAGATTTAACCCTTAGAGAGTTCTGGAAGGAACATTACAGCATCCTTTCCTGTGTGGGGTTGAGAAATCCTGGGCCAATGTCTAAGGACACTGAGATCTGCCTGTATTCAGGAGAGGGACTTTGTTGTTGTTATTGTTGTTTTGAGGCAGGGTCTCGCCATCAGGCTGGCCTTGAACTCACCATATGTCCCAGGCTGGTCTCAAACTCATAGTGGTCCTTGTGCCTCAGCCTCCCAAGTGCTGGGATTACAGGTGTGCGCCACCACACCTAGCTCAGGAGAGACTCTGAAGTCTGTGTAGAGGGGTCTGGGCCTTCAGTTGACCAACTTGAGTTACAACCAGCCCTCAAGAACAAATTGAGTTTGTAAGTCAAGAATCCACTGTCACAATAAATTCTGGCGAGCCTACAGGGGAAAAAAGAACCCTTCTATATTATTGATGGGAATGTAAACTAGTACTACCATTATGGAAATCAGTATGGAGATTCCTTAAAAAACTAAAACAAGAAATTCTATTCAATCCAGCTATTTCTCTCCTACATATCGTCCCAAAAGTTAGTCATGATATTATAGTGACACATGCATACCCATGTTTATAACAGCACAATTCAGAATAGCTAATTCTTGGAAATGGTCTGTATGTCCATCAACAGATGAATGGATAAAGTAAATGTATTTATAGACAATGGAGCACTATTTTTCCATAAATAAGGATAAACTTGAGTCATTCGCAGGAAAACGGACGCACCATGAGAACATGTTAATGAAATAAATTGGACACACGAGCTTAAATAGTTCATGGTTTCCCTCATATGAGAAACCCCAAATTCAAATAACAAGTAAATTAAAAGACACAGTAATGAGGGAAAAAAGAGAGATGGAGGGAAGGAGGCAGGAGAGTAGGAGGAAAAATGTGGCCAAAAGGGTAGGGTGAGGAAGAGAACAAAAAAAGGGATTAGGATGTGTTGTGTACATGTACCAACTCTTCATGATGAATGCAATCCTTGCACACTGCAAACATGTACTTATAAAAAGGTGAAAGTTAACGAGTATCACAGGTCACAGTTGTATCTACCAGCTGGTCCATCTGGGGATCCGGGGCCTGCAGCAGTGGGGTCGAGGGGAGATGTGGGCTGAAGATGGTCCAACAGCAGAAGCCCGCTCTTCGGGGACAGCAAGCTCAGTGAGTCATCAGAACCAGAACTCTGTGAGGGAGGAGCCACTGTTCTTGTTCCTCCTTGAATCCTAGGTTCCAGAGGCGCTCGGTGTAAGTGGATAATCACATCCAGTGTGTGGCAGTCAGGAGGGTCTGTGTCATAAGTGAACAATCTGTTTACTCACGCTAGGCCTCCCCATAGAAGGGGCCACCACCACACAAGCGCAAAAGTAGTGGGCAGTGCCCGAGATCCTATGGCGAGAAGCCAGGGCCTCAGCTATGGGACCAGGGCTCTGGACAGAATCCATTGCAGAGAGAAATACTGCACTGGGCCATACCACTGCTCAGGCCCGTTTCCAGGGTCCTTGCATACAGGTGACCATGCGTGCACAGGGCCCTGCCAGGATGCTGGATATGAGGTCAAGCTGCTTACAAATCTTGTATCGCTGTCAGGCCCAGTTCAGAATGGGGTGGACCTGAGTGGGATCATGCCCACAAGGAAAATAGAGTGGAGAACAAACATTTCTGTTCTCCCAGGCACATCTCTCTACTGGAGAGGATGCTGGAGACCAACACAGGCTCTTCTCCAACCCCAGGAGAAAACTGCACAGCACCAGCTTGAATTTCCCACCTGGCACCGGAAGCCAGAGTTAAGGTCTGTCTGCAAAAGTGGAGATGAAGATAACGGGGACTATTAAGTGGAGCGCTCCAGAGCCACCCCAGCTGTGGGGCTCCACTTGGCCTATTCCCTGGTGACTCACCAGCTTATGAGCAATCCTCAGATGCCCGATTTAGAGGACTTACTCACCCTTTAGAGACTTTAATGCAATAAATCGAATGTCACCAAGTGGGATGCAGCTCCGCACATCACCCTGCAGCCCACGCAGGCCTCTCTCCCTGGCTCTCACACCTGACCATGCCCACACAATGGGCACAATGGCTGCAGCCAAGAGATGCGGAACCAGGACAGACCTGGCACCAGCAGACCAAGAGCCGAAGTCTGATCTGTATAGGTTGAGGGCCAGCTCCAGCACACTGAGGGCGGGCGCATGGACCCCAGGACTTCTCACTCCCTGCTAATGGAGCTCCTCCGTGGAAGTGCCAGCCACGTGGATTGAGCAGAGGAGGGGAACAGCTGAAAGAAATCTGACCTTACCTGTGAGCTTTTCCAAGGACACTGTGGAGGGTGATTTGGGGAAAGGAAAGGCATGCAGAGACCAAGGCCTCAAGCAGAACTTTTCTGTTCAGACAGGGTCTTGCTATGTAGCTCAGGCTGGCCTCAAACTTATGGTGATCCTCCTGCCTCAGCCTCCCAAGTGCTGGGATTACAGGCATGAGCCACCATGCCCAGCTCAAACAGAACATTTGAGGTGCGGTGTTTATAGAGAGCTGGACCACCCTAAGCCCAGCTGCATCTTACTATCTGCCAACACAGTGCATGCTGGGGTTGTTGGGGGCCTCTTTGGGGCCTCAGAATTGAGGATTGGCTGGATTCCCCATGTTAACTATTGGCTGACTTGGGGTGGCATAAATTCCATCCAGTTCTGTTTCCCCAGGTAAGAAAACAGGCCCCAAGAGTAAGGCTGGAGCAGGGGCAGCACTCGTATGGGGAGAAGTCGGTATTGCTCCTTCTTTCCCCCACCAACGCAGAGGAAATTACTCAGAAGTCAAGCTGATTGTCTTAGATTTAAACCCACTCACTGAGGGATTTACCTAGGAACTCCTGACAGTAGTATCTAGAATGTGTGAAAGATGCATTCGGGGACAGGCCCGTAAGCTGAACCTTCACCTAGTTCGAATCATCTCCATGGCCACAGGGCTTCCGGGACCTTGGGGTTCATTTATCTTGGCTCAGCCTGTTTCACAGGTGAGGCATCTAAGGTTCAAGCCCAAGTCTGCCTTGGTGTGATTCTCGAGAATGAAGAGCCCAGAATGGGCAATACTCTGACTAGCCCGTGCAGGGCAGATGTCCGGGAACTTCTCTGGCTTCAGGAAGCCCCTTAGCCGGAGAGCGGCATTCCACGTATGTCCGGGCTAAGATGACTGACTGGTGAGCAGACGGGCAGCTTCACACCAACTGCACATCCACCATCCCCACCCTGTCATCTGGAAATGAAAGCCAGTAAGTGGGTTGAGCCTCCATCCCAAGGTATCCCTACATCACCCCAATTCACCAACTACACGGAGAAGTGCTTTTATCTATTTTTATTTTGCACTATAAAAAAACCCAACAAAACCCAGCAACATACCGCTTTTCTTCACATTCACATGGGTTTTAGGAAATTATTGCCTTTTCCCCTGGAGAAATAAACTAGACCGAAAAGAAGTACCACACTGCAAAATCCGTATATCCCAGAAGTCAGTAGCTCGAGGACAACCCCAGGGGCAGGGAGCAAACACGTGTCACAAGAGGAGACAGAAGCACAGAGAGGGACACAGCAGGCTGAAGAGTGGCTTTTCAGTGCCGCTGACCCACAACACTCTTCTGCAGGTACCCTGCCACCACTTCAGAGGTGATTTCAGGCCAATGGTCTGAAAACTTTGCAAATGACACTAGAGTTGCTCTGAAGAGAGGTTCAAGTATGACAAAGAATCATGCCAAAGCCCAAGGTCAGGGAAGAACCCACAGCGAAAAAGACACCCAGAAGAGTCAACATCTGGCTACTTCGATCAATTGCCTCCACTGGGCCCAAAAGCAATCTTCGAAACATTTCAGGGTTCAAAGTGGCATAGACATTGTGTCCCTACAAACCCAACAGGGTTACTTTCCCGACAAGGCAGGGATCAGCTTACGCCCTAAAGCAACGAAGACAGACATGGAGACTGCCAAAGTTCAAAAAGTAAGGTGGAAATTGTGCTTCCTTCAAGACAAATTGGCTTTGTAACTGCCTTTTCTCCTAGTCCAGCAACTTCTCTCCCCCATGTTGCTGCAGGTATTTATTGCCTTACGCTTGAAATGAAAAGGCGAACTTTGAGGTGCTAGGACTGGGCGGTCCTGAGAGGGCAGGGGCTCTGGAAGTACAGTAGTGCGCACACCTCATGCTGCCCTAATGGCTTGGCCTTCCTTCCGTCCCAAGGACCTGTCCTCGAGGTCAGTCTGAAGTCCCTCTGTGCCGCAAGCCTGGGGACCACTCACCGTCTCACCGGGGTGTGACAAAGAGAGGTCTTCAGCACTGCACAGGAATGAAATGTCCACAAACTTCGACAAGATCACAGTTGCTCTCGGGCTGGCCCGGCACCCCATCCGAGTCTCAGCAGGATGTGGCTGTGGCCACAGGACTCCTGTGGAGCTCCGTGACCGTCGAGAGGGTGGGCACTGGTGCCAGCACCGAGGTAGGGAATGCGCAGTAAGTACCCTGCGCATCAGGGCTCAGAGCCTGCAAGTGGTCTATAAATGAGGAGCCCGAGGCCTCCCCTTGGCAGGAGGGAGGCTGGGGGTTGGGCGTGGAAGGCAGGATCTCAGATTCATACTGGAGGAGCTGGCCCATGAAGCCGAAGTTGGGTGAGATCACGCTCCTCCTCTGCTTGATGTAATCGAAGGCCTCCTTCAGGCGGAACTGCTTGGTCTTCATGAGGTAAGCCATGCAGATGGTGGGTGACCGGGAGACCCCGGCCTCACAGTGGACCAGGACCTTGCCTCCCTTTTCCCTGACACAGTCTGAAAGGAAGAAACGAGTGGGAGTGAGTTCAGACTGGGATCTGAGGCCAATGGCAGATACAACAGTCGGACATTGAGGTGGCACCATGCCCGTGCAGGAGCTATGGTCCTACTGGATTTGCCAGTACTTAGCATCCCTTGGTGAGGACAAAGCTTTTGGGGTCCCACTAATGCCTGTCCTCTTGCGATCCTCTTAGCCTCTCAGAGTGCTAGGATTACAGGACTGGGCCACCACGCCCAGTCTGGGAGTGCAGCTTAATGAGTTCCACTGATGAGGCTCAAGATGGCATTGGGAAATCCTTGAAATCGTATGCAAATCTGAATTAGGTAGGCACATTTTTCTGAGAGTATCCCAGGCTCAGAGGCTGACAGAAATCCCTGCTTCTTTAGGTTTGATTCTAACAGTGATGACCTAGCCCCACCCTGGTAGAGAGAGCACTTCCGGTCTCCCTGGGCACCCTGTCTTGCTGTGCCAGGACGGGTGCTCAGCTCAGTCCCCAGGGTTCTCACCACCAAGCATTTGATAAATAATGTCCAGCTGCTAATTACAGCCCTGGCTAAGTGACACTCACTGGATGGGTGATACACACAAATGGCTTTTGCAAACTCCATCTTGCTCAACAATGGGAGTAACTGCTATAAAAGCTGCCACCAGCAGTTAGCATTCTTTAGCTCAGTATGACAAAAAGGGGGCCCCTCCTTTCTTGTTCTACCCCTCCCAGCAAAACAAAACCAACTGTTAAAAATGGGAAGGGGTGAAAGGTGAATACACAGCAAATCAAAACCACAAGAAATACTCTTTACAACTCCCTCTCTTGCTGATGAGGAAACACTTCCATCACAGGAAGTCAGATGCAGTTGGCACTCTGTTAGCCTACAATATGGAAAAAAGCAAAGATTTTGAAGGGGGGAAAGTCAGCCCTCCTTCCACCCTCCACCCACCTGCTCCAAGTTCAAGAAGTTTGCAAATGAATCTAATTTCTAAAGGGAAAGGGAGGACCTCACAGAGTCCTCATCTAAACAAAAACCCAGAGGACACCCAAGGTGGCTCATCAGTGGCACTCAATTCAATACGAATACCCCCCCAACCTGCAGCCAAAATTGCCTGTAAATTGGTTCAAAGAGGAGACCCAAGTCTCTAGGATTACAGGCAGACTTCTTCTTTTCCATTGCTCCTGTTTGGCTTCCTCTGGAGTGCAGCCTTTAGCAGGCCTAGCACCACTCTGAGTACAAAGGGCCTGTAACCCTCTGCACCTCAGGGACCCGCCTTCCCTTGGGAAGGGGCCAGTGCTCATTTCAGCACAGGGCCCTCTGCCCTCCTCCACTGCAGGGCAGGGCATCTGGAAAAACGCACCCTATGCTTTTGAAACACTGTGGGTTTGTGCGACTGTGTACACAAACATAGGCACAACACACAGGAAGGGGAGGGATGGCTCTGAGAACCGGATGGGGACAGGTTTTGTGACCTCATGCAGTAGCTAGCTAGGTAATTAAACAACAGGCTGAGAAGGGCAAGGCCTTCCCAGGGACAGCAAGGGTAAGTCCAGGGCTTCCCACCTGGAGCCCATCATTCTGGTGGCCTCTGAGGCTCCAACAGATCATCTAGCCCAGAGGCTGAAGGGGACAAGGAGGACAGGCTTGGCCTTTTGGCTCTGCCAAGTTTCTTGTCAAGATTTCCGTGGAGCAGAAATGTGCAGTGAGCACAGGACCTACCACATGGCTAGGAGGGCCCTTTAATCACTACCTGCACTAGGTCATTACTTCTGTGCCTAACACCTGCCTTTTCCCCTCTGACATCCCCTGGAGTCCGAAACAGGAAAATCCTGTCTCAATTCCAACAACTACACAGCCAAAGAGGAAGAAGACTTCTGAAATGGGAGGAGCAGCCACAAGGCTGGGAGTGCTATTTGCAAATTTGAGACAAAAAAAATAAAGAAAGAAAGTGAGGCCAGCCCCCAGGAATGGGGATGGAGGGAGTGGAGAGATGTCCGATGGCAACCTGAGGACCTGGACACCCTGAGGTCAGAGCCCTTGCCAGGCAGGTGACCGGAAGCCAAGGCCTCATGTCTGACCCTGTTCGATGGAGTAACAACAACTGCCTCCTACGAATGGGGAAGGGACGCACAGATGCCAAATTTTCTATGTGCAAAGCATAGAGCTTGAGTCAAAAGCTATCTTTAATCCAAAATTAGCTGAAAATGCAAAACAAATTGCCTCCAAAGCCATTTGCCAAAACTGTGGATAGCTGCGGGGCCCTTGAGGCTCAGTGCGTAAGTAGTGCTCTCTCTCTCCATCCTTCTGTTTGCTTTTAAAAATACCCCAACCTACATAGAAGCACAGTTAGGGAGGTTCCTCCCCCTGCATTCCTCATGTGGAGCAGTACACACAGACACACTCTGCTCCTGCGCAGCTAGAAACAGTAACAAGAGCGGCGTGGAGTACTGCCATCAAATTATATTAATTCATTTATCTTGCAAATTCAAGCTCCTATTAATAGGAACTCAAGTTCCCCCTCTGCCTTTGGGTGGCTGCATCTGTGCTTTGGTGGGTACCTACGCAAGACACTTTTCTTTCACAGAACACAGCCTCCACCAGGACCTCAAAAGCCAAACTGTGTGCCCCGAGGGGGCTCCCGGCATCAGGGAGGGGAGACGGCCGAACCTACCAATGAAGTCTATTGCTTCCTGAAAGTGGGAGCTGATGTCAGCTGTGTGGCTGTCTTCCACGGGGATCCATTTGTAGTGTAGGTGGGTGGTACAGGCCTCAGAGGTGCGTCGGGAGACATTCAGCAGGGCCGTGATGTGCAGGTTGGCGAAGAACTCGCACTTGGATGCATGATAGGCACTTCCAAGGTAGAGGAAGGGAAGGATTTCAACTGGGCTGCCCTGGAAACAAGGACAAACGACCAGGAAATACTGGATTAGCTTGCTCATTTGGGAGAAGAAAAAAAACAACTCTGACCTATTTGTTTTTTAAGGTGGGAGGTTCCCTTTCTGGTTTCCAGGTAGAGAGAGTTCAGAGCCAGGGCAGTTCAGCCAAGAGCATGGGTGAAACCTCCATCCTGGCAAACTCTCTACCCTGCGTGACTGCCTTGTGACTCAGTGACAGCAAAACGCACATGGCCCAGAGTTTCGTTTTTTTGCACATATCGAGGAGGCAGGAATTGCCAGCAGCCTTCCTGTGCTGGGGGAAAGAGGTGGTGAGGCGTGATGGGGGAACTGAAAGGCCCAAGTTCAAGTGGAGCTGTCCTGAGAGCCCCAGGGCCAGCGTTGGAACCCAGGGCAGCCTTGGCTTCTCTAGAGACACAGTGAAGGTGAGTTTGCCAAGGCAGGCTCCCTGCTTCATACCCAGACATCTGCTACTTCACAGATCCTGAGGCACTGCTGATCCTAAGATAACCCAGTTTTAGAGATGGTAAGTCATGCGTCCTCCCCCAGAGTATGCTTCTTAGAAGTGCAAATAACTACAACCTACCCAGAATCTGTAGACTAAGAAAAGCTGTTAGACCACAGCATGGGGATTCCCCCACCCCTGACCTTCACACGGGCACTGGTATTCTGAGAGAGGCTTACATGTCACCCACACACTGGGCGTCTACTTAGGAGGATCTAGACTAAGGGAGAACCAGAGGCTAGCACCTCGGTGTGAAGCTGAAGAGAACCACCAGCTAGCTGGACTCAGTATTTACAGCGGTCTTGGGTGCCAAGAAAAACCAGTGGCAGTGGGAACGGCAGGAGCCCCTGGAGATTCAGAGGAAACACTGGGCTGGGGGGACAGTCGCTGTTGGTGGGAGCCTTTCCCACACCCATCCTTCCGTTTCCTGTCTACTTCCTTTCTCGGGATAAGAGTGGAAAGGAAACACCCAGGGAAAGGAACATGTGACGGGGGTCAGCAACAGGCAATCCTCAATCTACCCAGCACCTGGTGTTTGCTCTTTCTTCCCTGACAAGTGTTTCAGCAAAAGCCAGTTCAGCCACTTAGAAGAAAGTTATAGGCAAGTTAAAAGGAATTTTACATAAGGTAAATAATAACAACAACTAGTGTTTTTAATTAGCATCGACAGGGGCCAGCATCCAGACTTAACACTTTAGAGCAGTGAGGGCGAAGCTTTTGGAGCTTTCAATGATAACAAACAGCCAGCTGCAGCATGCATGCCATACGTTCGCTACCACTGCATTAGAGGTACTGATACTGTATTAATTTCACAACCAATCTGTGAGGTAGATAACATTATTCCCATTTTACATGTGGGTGACTTGAGGCTCACATGGTATTAAACAACATCCCTTGGCAGAGCTAGGCAGGGTTACAGCTGGGATTGAAATCCAAATCTGACTGCTTAAAATGAGCTGCAAGGCATTATCCGAGTGCATTTCAACAGCGATCAGTAGGGGAAATCAAGTATTTCATATAAAAGATAATCTTCTCTTTCCATCTGACATCTCTCAGCTCCCATCCCAGACCTACCAAGCAGCTTCCCAGTGGTTCTATGGGGGCCAAGGTTAGGAACCTGGACCTCAGCCAGGTGTGGCGGTGCACGCCTCTACTTCCGGCACTCAGGAGACTGCTGCAGGAGGATGGCCAAGAGGTTGAGAGTTTGAGGTCTGCCTGGGCTACACAGTGAGATCAAGGCCAGCCTGAACTACATAGCGAGACCTCGTCTCAAACAAAACAAACCAAACAAAATCAAACTCACCACCACCAACAAACCAAAAAGAAATGAAAAAGGAATCTGGACTTGAGCATCAGAGATGACAGCTCTTGGTCAGTTCCCAGCCCCACTCTTCCTACCTGATTTGACCTTGGGCAGCTTTGTTGACCTCTGAACCTTATTTGTAAACTGGGAATAATAATACCTATCCTCTTAGGATAACTGGTAAGACATAAATGAGATAATAGATGCATTAAAACCTGGCAGATTATGTAGCTATCATTTTCATCCGAGGCTGAAGAATAAACAAACATAACACCCGCTTTCTGTCTGGGGAAGACACAGGGCAGGTACAGAGGCCAGCTGATCCCAGAAGTCTGGTGCTGGCCTCAGAAGACCCACTCCCTGGGCCCAGCTCCCCACTGGTCAGAAACCAGAACGCAGGGCCGGGGTTTAGCTCAGTGGTTCCGGAGCCTGCCTCGCAAGCAAAAGGTCCTGAGTTCGACCCCCAGTACCAAAAAAAAAAGAAACCAGAATACAGCAGAGGTGGGAGAAATGGGTCAGAGAGCCAAGTCCAGTCTCACTCAGCCCCTGAGCAGCTACAGATCCCCATCAATGGGGCCAACAGCCTCCCCCTCAGAGGAACAGGCTGGACAGCTGGCCCTGATCTCCGCCTTTCCTGAGTGCCTGGAACACAGTGACACACCAGGCCTGGGATCTGACCCAACTTCACCACGAGCTTAGCCCAACATGCCCCTGAAGCTTTCATTTCTCTCCCTTTCTGAGCCTTCCGTTTAGACTCCAGAGGAAGACACACCAGGTCTCCAGAAACCCCAAAGGTTAACTTGGCCCTGCTTGGCTTCTCTTCACTCAGAAGCGCTTCTAGGAAGTAGCCCGTGGGGCTTCCCCAGGAGTCCTGAAGACACACCAGACCTCCCCACCCCTCACCTGGCGAAAGGCCTACCTGCCTGCTGTGCTTTCACAACACACTGCCAATTAGTTTCTCTTTCACTTTCTGAGAAATGGAGGAGAAATACAACCTAAACAAACAAAACAGCAATCTAGCTAGGCCAGATGCTCTTGGCTGGAAAGCCAAGGGTTCATAATACACGGTGAAGATCTTTTTCATAAAGGAAAATAAACAGAATCATAACCCTGGCACCTGGCTTCCTGACCAAGGATCCTATTCAAGACCAGGTCAACCTGGTTTTACTTAGAAGTCTGTCCCCAGGGGCAGAGCTCTGCCTAGGCAGGGAGCTGACATTTTTGGCAGGATCAAGAAGATAAGCCCTCCTTCTTAGACTTTGGCTATGTTCTCAGTTTTGAGGGAAATCTGAAAAGCTCCTCCCACCAAGTCAGACCCCTAGGCCAGAGGGAAACAAGGTTCTGAAAGGAACCAAAGCAGGGACTTAAGAGGAGGGAGTTCTGAGCCGACAGCTGGCATGGGCTTGCTGCCCGTCTCTGCAAATCAATCGTACCACTAGCCATGGCAGTTTTGCTCCCCTCTGAAATGGCAAAGTGGGTTTTGAGCTCTGGTTTCTGTCAGATCTGAATTTCATCCACCTTTTCTCCAGCCTCCCGTACTGTGCTAGGTAACCCTGAGTTAACACAAAGCACAATTTTTTGAAGGGAAAAAAACCCCTCACATGTGAGTAGAACCATGAAGCCACCTAGTGTTTCTTGATTTCTTATGTCAGATTGCATCAGAAACCCTCAGGGCCCTGCTAAGGCATCCAAACAGGAGTTTCCCTGTAGCACCAACCCTGGCTCAGTTAAAGACACCAAGAAGACACCCCGTCATGGGTACAGGGTTGGTGTGCATAAAGGTTGAACCAGGAGCAATTATAAAGAAGAACAGGAAGCCTAAAAGTCAGTTCTGGAACCCCTTCAAGGAAACCTAAACCTGTATTTCGAAGCTTCTCTGAACCTCCCAAGCCAGTGAGTAATAATGTATTTTTCACTTCCCCTCTTCTCCAGAAAACATCGAGCATCCTGTGGCTTGCTCGCTCTTGTCAGCGTGTTTGCTGGAAGGATGCCCATTTATTCTTGGATGGGAACTCGAGTTGGCAAGCAACAGAGGCTCTCAAAGCAAGAGGATGGTGCCAGCACCCTAGTCCACAAAGCACGAACCTCCGCTGCCGAGCAGGGAAAGGAGGTGTCAGGGTGCGGAGAAAGGGGGGGAGACAGGAGCTGAAAACCACACACCTGGTCATAGGCTGGCCGGTAGCTGATGCTTAGCACTGGTTTTCCACACTGGCTACGGAGGGCTCTTTCACTTTCGATCTTCTCTTGTGAAATGGGCTTTACGTCCACGCAACACTCGGGATATTCTGAATAGAAGGTCTCATATCCCCCTAAAGAAACAAAGGAACAAGCAAAAAGTGAGACACATGTAAACACTGGTTTCTCAGATAATCAGAAAATACTCTTGTGTAGAACAGGAAAAAAAAACAAACCCCAAACGCTAAGTGAACATTAATTCTGGTCATATTAAAAATTTAGCAAAACCACCAGTTTTAGAATAGAAGTGAGCTACACACACCTAGGTAATGATTTTTTTGGTGTCTTTTATTTTACTGGTACATTTTAAATATGCATAACGCTAACATTCACCATAGGGAATTTGTACTGTACATGATATGACAGCCAATGATTAACTTTTTGCGTCTATCAGCAGCACCTTAACCTGTGAAAGACACTATCTAGCATCTGGCAAATATTAACCAAGTCTCCCCAGAAAACAAAACTGATTTTCTCTCTTGCTTATCTAAAATTGATGGTGCGATTCTGCAAGGTTTCTTTTATTTATGAGATTCCTAAACTGATTCTCCCCCAGCCCAGTCCGCCATAAGCAGAATTATGGATGGTACCACACCTTTCATTCTATTCTCAAGGGGCCCACATGAAGTTTCAACTCTGGGCAGTGAAACACCCTTGCCTTTCTCATTCCCATGGGGCCGAGAACACTGCTAACAACCCCTTCTATAGGTTCCATTTAGAGGCATCAATCAAGTTAATTACCTTCTAAACCAAATGGTAGGAATGAGGATTTCTGAACTGAATTCTCAGCTCCCACTAAGTAAAAACTACATCTGTCCCCTCCTGACCAGCTACCCCTTCTTATTATCCTCCCTTCCTGACCTTTGCCCTCCCAGGCCCCACACCTATTTTTCAACTCCCGGCACGGAAGAATCCTAGTGTTACATTTAAACGTCACCAGATAGACTACTTAAAGGTTAGAAGTGGCTCAGCCACAGAGCTGTGTCTATATAAATAATAAGCCTTTGAAGGATCAAATGAAAAACTGGACTGGGGACCCTCGGAGAGCCAGGGGCTTGCAAATGAAATCCACATAACCTGATCTGGCAATTTTCATGGTTTTACTGAAAGGTATGACAGTGCACACAGAAGAACCTAAGGCCAGTCTCCCAGGTTCCTGGCCTTGCAGACCACCCACTGCTTCCCACGCAGAGCAAACAAAGACACTCCTATCTCTGCCAGCCCAGAGATTTCACTCGGTGTCAAACCATCGATTAAATATTCTTTCTGAGATCATGTCATTTCCAAAAAAGTCATCTTTCTTCTTCTGTCTTTTGATATTGTGATAGCTCCTCAGTGGAGGGCATGCTGGCTTTTCCAAACCTCTGCAGTTGACAAATGGTTAATGGATTACAGGACAGGCTCCAGCTCCCTCCCAATTCCTAGAATGAGTCATCTTGCCATTACTGCTTCCTCTCAGCTCACTGGAACTGCCTCCGCCCCATTTCGTATATGCTCCCCTGTGGTCACCCCAACAAATAGCCCGCTGCACGCTGCACCTTCCCGGATGAGCTGCTGGTGCTCCACAGTGACCATGTTTCCTGTCACGAGGACAAGAGGCCTGGCTGCAAGGGTCACAAGGGGGCAGAGGGGAGGCTCTGGTGGCTTAATCTTCCACTCCGTATCCATAGTCTCCTTCCCTTCTAAGAAACAGAAGGAACGCCAAACACTTCCATCACACTTCCATCGACTCACACCTTCCTTGGTCAGTGGATATGCTCCTCGTATCCATGCCTGCACCACTTTGGGGTCCAGCAGGAAAAATGAATGATAGGGGAGGGGATTTGGAGTCACAGGGGCCCAAGCCCTCCCAAACTTTTGAGATGAGGCATGGGGAAGAGAAGCCTTCAGGCCATCTCAACTCTAGTTTTTAAACAGACCACTGCAGAGCTGGCTATTAAGAGGTGTGGGTGTAGGCAGGATCTTGCCTGCCTGTTGACAAAATAAGGCTGGCAGACAGAGCCTCAGTGTGGCTGAGGGACAGATAAACAGGGCCCTGCCTCTTTCAACTGGGGTCAGAAGGAGATTAGATGGTCTCTATCGTCTACCCACTCCTGTCAGAGGTGTGGAGACAGAACATTCCTCTCTGGTGCCTCACTCTCATTGCCATTCTTAGAGCTGCTTCAAGCTTCCTCAGAGTGAGTCTGCTTTCAATCACCAACAAATGGCCTGTGAAGAGGTGGTGCACACACTATATAAAAATAAGCACTGGCCCTGCAGTTCAAGAATCACCATCTCATTCTAGTGAGTGTTTGGAAAGAGGATCAAGGAACATGTAAAAGGCACTGTCCCAAGATCTAAATGCCACTAGGTTAAAACCTGAACTTGCATCTGGACAGGAGTTAGACAAGGAGATAAAGGGATTCTCCAGTGACAGCAGTTTGAATTGTAATAATGTTGTAAGGGTAGCAATTTCTACTGTAATTTCAAAAGCATGTAACTTTTGACCTAGCAATTCTCACAATTTTACCTAAAGATAAGTCACTGCACATGTAAGAACCTAAGACTGAAGATAGCTTCTATCATCCTGCCTCAAAGAGCAAGGCTCGAAGCAACCTACGGCCATCGCCTGGGCCCATCGCTAGGGAAGGGACAGTGTGCTCGGGTGGACAAGTCTCCAGGAGGTAGCTGGGTGCGGAACAGGGTATACAATTATTTTTAAAGACACTGTGGGACACTATCGGAGAATGAGCAAGAAATGGCAAGTGGCTGTCCCTGGGGAGTGGAACTGGGTTCTAGGGTGTGTGGAGGACCCACTTTTCATTGCACAGTGTTCAAATTTTCACCTAGGTGTTACTTCGTTTATCAAAATTTAATATAATTTTCCTGAGTCTACAGAGCTGCCTATTTCCTGTGGCAATGATTTGCAAACCGATAGCATGGAACCCTGAAGAGGGGTGGGGGCACAGGCAGCCCCAGGAATGGTTTCCTTTTATCTTTCAAGCTGCTGGGGAGGCAAAAGCTTTCCCCCTATGCATTGCTAAGTACAGGAGACAAAATCACAGGAGGAGAATGACAAAAATCCCACCTGTGAGACCCCTGCAGAGAGGTGAAGAAGGCTTTCCTTCCACCTCCTGGGGACTGGGGCTGCAGGCTCTGTTATCTCCCCAAAGGGATCAACAAAGAACAGTCCGAAAGAGGTGCTAATAGGAGGGAAGCTGCCCACGAGCCAGTATAATCCTGGCCTGCAGTGTGTGAAACTCCCCAAATTGCATGGCATCAAACAGGGTCCTAATTCCCAGCTCACTGAACCTGAGTTCTGAATCACTTTAGCTACAGCCTCGGGCTCTGCCGGGGGTGGGGGTGGGGGGTGGGTTAAGGTCTCACCCCAGACGTTTGAGGCAGAAGGAGTCATGGGAAGTGACCAGAATCAAGGCTCTGTGGAGTTTGTCACCCACCCACCAGGAGAAACCAGTTACCTCCCCAGCAGGTGAAATGGGCAAGCCTGGTGGCGGCTGAGGCTACAGAAGCCCTCTCTACACACTTGTCCTAGGTTCAGGCTGACCGCGGGCCAAGCAGTACCCAGCTCAGGCCCGTCGGGGGATAATCCCAGCCCGGATGGGAGAAGTGAAAGGGGTGGGAAAGCTATCAGGTGCAAATTGAGCTTGAGAAAGGCATAGGAGGGGAGGAGATTGGAAAAAAACAATAAAAAGCAATAAAACGGAAACAGAAAGGAAGGGGAGGGTCTCGCAAAGGTCAAAAAGGCAAAAGGGGGCGGTGAAGCAGCCTCAGGCACTGCGATTTTGTAGGCGGGAGAAGGGGGACACCCCGGCGCCAAGCTCCTGGGGGAAAGGGGCTTTGACCTGATCGCGCCAGGTCAGGAGGGCTGTGAGCCCTGCGCCCAGCGACAGTGGTGACCCTAGAGTCACGTTCGCGCCCGGCACGAGCCCAAGGACCCCAGAGCGCTAAGGAGGACCCCTAGGAGCCCAACCGGCCCCACCCGACTTGGCGGACAGACTGACCGGCAGACGCTTTCGAGGAACGAGGCTGGGGAGGGGGGAACTCCGGCGCTGACGCTCGCGACGCCCTCCCAAGAGCGCGCCAACTCCGGGCGCGCAGGCTCGGCGAGGAGCGACTCTCCTCGGTGCGAGCGTCGGAGGGCGCCCCCTCCCCGCGCAGGGGTGCATCCCGGGCCCGGGAGTCCCGGCGGCCCGGCGCTCACCTTTGAGGAAGTAGACCCGCGGGCCGGCGGGCAAGCAGGCGAGCAGCGAGGTGAGCACGACGCGCGCGGCGCTCTCCTCGCGCAGCTTCTGCCAGTGGCGGCTGCCCTGGTCCAGCACGACCACCGCCGCCACGCCGCCGCCGCCCTCCTGCAGCAGCCGCGCGCGCGCCGCCTCGTCGGGCAGCACGTACCGCGCCGACACCGCGCCGCCCCGCGCCCGCCGCAGCACCACCGAGTTCAGGTTGACGTTGAGCGAGCCGCGCACGCTCGAGGCGGCGAACGCCAGGTAGGGCCGGCAGTCGAGCACCAAGCAGCGCGCCGCCGCCTCCTTGCGGAGCATCTTGCGCAGCTGGCGCCCGTCGAGCGACGTGACCTTCATGCTGCCGGGTGCCCGCGGGCCACGCACGGAAGCCGGCCGGCGGAGCCCGGCGCCGGAGGGGCCGCTCAGCGCTCCGTCCCGCCCCGCACGCTCGGCGCCCAGCCCGGCCACTCGTCGCCCCAGAAGCCGGGGATTCCGCCGGCAGCGCGGCGTTTTATGTGAATGAGTGTGCGGCCCGTGACGTGGCTGCCCATATAAGGCCAAATATGGGTGTCGCCCCGCCCACGGCGTGCCACGCCCCTCGGGGGCGGGGCAGGAGCGGGCGCGCGGGGCGGGGCGAGCGTTACTCAGAGCCCGAAGGAGGAAGTGGACGGCGCCTCTGGTCCCCTCGCGGTCTCACTCAGCGTCACCCGGGCCTGCCGGTGCGGTGTCGAGAATGCCACTCGGCCGCGGTGGCCGGCGCTGATCGGGAAGGGGAGGAAGCAGGCCAGGGGGCGGCGCCGGCGCCGTGTGTTCCGGTTTTCCGTTTTGTGGGCGTAGGCTGGGAATTGGGTGGGGGCTGCGCCTCCGAGGAATCAGAAGCGGACCCGGTCGCGACCCCAGTGTTCGGGCTTGTAAGGGAGGAGACTGCGATTCGCCTCTGGGCGAGTGGACAGATGCGGCGAGATCAGGCCTGTGCCGGTGAACCTCTGAGGCTGGGAGATGGAGACTTGGGGCTCAGGATACCGTGTTCTCCACTCTCCTCTCCCCTATGCTGTATTTGACATTTTCCTAATAAAAGTTTGTAAAAGTAAAAAGGGGGCAAGGGGAGAAGACCCAGCAGTTAATCTTAAACAGGTCTGCCCTCAAAAGGACTGGCAGCCCATTTCTCTGTTTTTCTCCAGTAGGGAGGAGAATAATAAACTGGTTTTGTTTTTGGGTTTTGGCCTTTGAGCAACGTTTCTCTGGTTCCTGGGAGACCTGTCGTGAACCCAGCAGCACGTAAACATGCATCTGACTCCAGTACACTGCTGTCCAGGTGGCTTCTGGATTTGGGGGATTATCTGCGGATCAAGTGTAATCCTAGGCTGCCTGCCCCCTCCATTCCCCAGGAGCTTCAGGCTCCCCACCCCCGTCCCTGGGGAACCAGACACGATTCACCCTTTCTGCATGTGTTTACTGAGGCTCTTCTAGCTGCGGGGACACGAGGGATGGAAACACTCTCTGCCCTCAGCCATCCAACCGTGTTGTCAGCCCTGCTGGGCTGCTGGATGGGAACGGCCGGCCTCCGCTGCAGAGCGGCCTGTCTACAGCAGACACGGGAATGAGGTTCTTAGAAGAAAGCAGAAATCAAATTCTGAAATCAGGTGCAGTCAGCCCGGACGCCAGGATAGCTGGCACTGCTTCTGGGTCGCAGCTGTCCTCGCCCTGCCTGTGGGGTCCTGAAGACAGCGTGATGTAAGGGCTTTTCCTCTCCGGGGTTATCAGTGTCCACCTTCCGGCAACCTGCTCTTCCTCCAGCCTGTCTGCCTCCATCACCAGTGCTCTCCACCCCCAGCTGTTTCAGCCCGAGCCAGGCGCTGTGGAGCCCCACAGGAGCCAAGATTCGGGTTGGGTATTGTGTGGCCCATCTACCCCCAGCCTGGAAGGGAGGCGGTGCCCAGTCACGGGTCTCTCTGAGGCTCTGTGGCCAGTGCAACCCCGGGTGTGTGCGGTTAGGGTGTGAAGAGGGAGGCAGAGGGCACCCCAGGCAGAAGAAACTGCTTGAGGTAAAGGGAAAAACCAACAACCCTGCATGGTGTGTGCTGGAGGTGTGTGGGAGACCAGCACTTCCGGCATCGATTAGAAAATAAAGCAGGTCAGATGGCATAGGGCCTTGTGCATCATTGAAGGCATTTGGATCTTACCCTGTGCGTCTTAGTCTTACTCGGTGACCTAGCCAGGTTAGCATTTGGGGACAGACCCGTGAGAGGGGGGTGGGGTCCCGCCGAACCAAGGAGAGGGAGAAAAGTTTGTTGTGGGAAAGTGAGGCCCAAACAGAAAAGGACCGCTGGAACGGGGTGTGACCACCACCACGGGGGAAGAGGCCACACCCCTGGGAGAATATTGAGGATTATTTAGAAAGCAGACTGCCTGAAGGGATGGGATGAGGAGAGTAGAGGGCCACACCCATGGGTGGGAGATTTTAACTGGAGTGATTGGGTGAATGGTGCTACCTTCAGATGGAGACCCTATAGCAGTGACGGCGAACCTTTTAGAGACCGGGTGCCAAACTGCAACCCAAAACCCACTCATTTATTGCGAAGTGCCAACACTAAAACCTAAATACTGAGGTTTTAGTTTAGAAAAAACAACTGTTGTCCGATGCTCGCCGGCGACTTGGCTCGTGCCCTGACAGGGCTGTGAGTGCCTGCTGCAGCGCGCGTGCCCTAGATTGGCCACCACTGCCCTATAGCAACGTATAGGTGGAGGGGGAGAGGACAAGGAAGAGGGGGGAAGTTTAGACATTAACAGTCTAGAAGTGGTCATGGCCACTCAGGAAGAGTGCCCAGCAAGCAGCAGAGTGGCCTGAAAGCCGTGGAGGAAGGCCATCTGTCATCTGTCTTGCTAGATTATTCCCTCTCTTCCCATGGCCAATGGATCACCAAGTCCCAGGGCTGCTTTCCAGTCCTGGCCTCCAGGGGGTGTGACCTGGGCAGCCACACAGGGCCCCATGCTTAAAAGACTCCTCCCATTGTTTTAATGCTCTGCTGTTGCTGTCTTGAAATTCTTAATTTTTGTTCAAAGAACCCTGTATTTCCTACACACACACACACACACACACACACACACACACACACACACACACGCAGCCCAGGCTCTGCAGCAGCATTCTGTTCACCAAGCCCTCTTGGTCATTCATTCTCTGCACCATGATCTTCTCAAGCGTAGAGCTAAGCAAAGAGCTTATCTGTTCTGTTCAAAAACCTTCAGTGAACCTACACACTGTGATAAGATCTGGATTCCTTAGTGGAACACACAGGTCCTCATTCTGACCACTTGGCCATGACCCTCCTCTAACCTTGTTCCTCCCCTTCCTTCCCAGCCCCTCTTCCTTCGGTTCGGGAATCCTTCACCTCACACAGTTCCAGCTACTGTTGCACCTCCCAGAAGCCGCTGAGTGTCCCCACCCCTTCCCTTCCCTGACACTGTTATCCATGCTGCAGCCCCAGGCCACAGGCCAGGCCCTCCCCTGACCATCCGAGTCCCCCCCACAGTGCCCTTCTGTGTGGGATGGAATTCAGTGTCTGCTGAGGACAGCTGGTCCTTTAGGAGGCCTCCAGGGAGGAAGTTAGCCCAGCATAGATCAGGGCTGCAGACACTGGTGAGGGGGTCAGATAGAAAGCTGAGAACTTGGAATCGGCTGGATCAGGAGCTAGGGTTCATCAGGCACGGACCTAGGAGCAAGAGGAGGGTATCTGAGACCAGAAGGGTGTAATGGCCTAAGGATCAGGCCTCTCCCCCTACTGCTTTGGAATGGGGGTGAGGGTGGGCTCAGGGGCAAAAGCAGAATTTAAATTAATATTGTGAGTCCATGAGGCAGGGCCCTATCCTATTTATTGTTCTGTCCCCCCACCATTTATCCTGAGAGTGAGGCAAGAATGTTTGTAGGGTCTTGGCCCTTACTTGATCCTGGTGCTTTGTTCATCATTTGCAGCCTGCAGGTACCGTTCGGATGATCACGGGTGTCCCTTTGTAAAAGTTGGGGCCTCTCCTTGGAAACGGTGCACATAGCATTCTGCTTACAGCTTCAGGGTGTTTACACACCTGCGGAGTCCTGAGCTCCACAGCAGGCCCCTCTCTGGGAGCCTCAGTTAAGGCCTCCCCTCCCCGTTAGCCTGGGGGGACACATCAGAGTGCGCCCACAGACTCGGCCCAGAGCCTTCTCCAAGCCCCAGCCCTCTCCAAAGTGTGCATTTTGCTGCCTCTGTTTATTTTCCTATCATAAGAGTAGTGCACACTCATTGTTGAAAGTGTGGAAAATGCCAAGAAATGAAAAATGATTTTGTTTTGGATGTTGCTTTTTCAGCCTTAACTTGTTTAATCAAAGCTTCTGGCAGATCCAGACCTAGTTCCCACCGTCTTAGATAAAGGATAGAGCTTTGAACTAGGAATCAAAAATCTGAATTTCTGCCAGGCGTGGTGGCACACGCTTGTAATCTCAGCACTTAGGAGGCTGAGGCAGGAGGATTTTGGCAAGTTAGAGACCCGCCTGAACTGAACTACATCAGGAGACCCTGTCTCAAAAAACAAAAAACACAACAAAACTCTGAATCCCCATAAAATCTCTGTTATTGAACTGTGGTGGTGCAAGCCTATAATCCCAGCTACTCAGAGTGAAGAGGATCTCAAGTTTCAGTCTGATCTGGGCATTTTAGCAAAACTCTGTCTCAAAATAAAATTAAAAAGTAGCTCAGCACACCCTGGGTTCAGTCCCCAGCACTGAGGGAAAAGGCTCTGCTATCACCAGCCTTCCTTCACTAATCCTTATTCACAGAGTACCTTTTCCCTCCCCATCCATCTCCCTTGTGCTCTGGATCTTAAAGGCACTCCCTGCACGTGCCCTGTGACTGCTGAGAATCACTCACCATTTTAGAGCCGTGGTAACTTGCCTTGGTCATACAAGACTGTCAACCAGGATCAGGCTTGAGCAAAGATCCCTGTGCTGAATGGCCCTCCCTTCTCTCTCCTGTGCCATGAACTTGTGCCAGATACCCCATCCTACATGGTTATACCTGGTCCCCTCTCTCCCCTTGACCAAGCAGTCAGCTGCTGGGGCCTCTGCAGCCACATTCCCAGCCTGGCCCACAGCCGGCTCTACCGAGTCAGATCAGTGTGCTCAAGGAATACATGAAGTCGGGACTGGGTTTTTCCTCCATAGGCTGACTGGGGAAGGAATAGACACTTCATTCCTGACCTCAGGAAGGACTGGGGAAACAGGTGAAGACCAGGGAGGATTCACTCAGGCAGAGGGATCAGACAGCTTCTGTAGCTGGAGGAGACAGGTCTGCACAGGAAGTGGAGGGTAGAAAGCAGTCCAGTTCCACTTCCGGGGGATGTGACCATGCTGGTGTAGACAGAGACAACCTGGGGATGGTTAGAAGTTTGGGGGGTTAGGTATAGGAATAACA